ATCAGGGAAAAAAATTGAGGTTAAAATCGCTATTCGGAACAGCGTTTTATTAAGTAAAATCGCGATTCACAATAGCACCTTCACTATTCATCAAATTTTGGCCTCCAAACAGTTAAAGCGCGATTTGTAATAGCGTTTTAGCTTAGTTTGGGAAATCCGTCAAAACTATGCCTAGTTTGGGAAATATGAGGCAAAAGAGGCTTAGTTTGGGAAAAGACCCTAAATATAGTGGGATAAAGAAAAATAGGGAGATTTAGGAGTGATTTGTGATGTTTTAAATAAATTTGTTTTTTTTTTATTTTTTATAGAAAGTTATGTAAAAAAATAAAGAAAAAATGTTGATTGATGTGATGAAAAAAGATAAAAAATGTGTATTTATTTTGAGATGTTAAATCACTCCTTATTTTATATTTTTATTATATTATAAATAAATAACTTTTCTTAGGTATATTTTACTTCTTTTAAAATTAATATCATTAAATTATTATATTATAAATAAATAACTTTTCTTAGGTATATTTTACTTCTTTTAAAATTAATATCATTAAAAAAATAATAAATTGGTAATAAATTCAAGTTAAAGCTAAAGTGGGTATAAGATATTAGGTTTTGTTTAATTTTAGAATATAAAGGGTGGGATTAGATATTATATTTTATGGGGTTTACATATCTCATGTTTATAATTTTTTTTAAAGAGGACATAATATTCCATGGGATTGTATATCTCTAAAAGTGGAGGATATACAATATTTCTACCCTCATTATATCATATCCTCTTGGTTGGAATATGATTTAAAAAGTCTAATTTATCCTTTTGTCTATTTAACATAATATAATTTAATATATTTTTTGAATTTAATATAATATAATTATTGAATTTAATATAATATATAATATAATATAATATTATTTAATTTAATATAATATAATATTATTTAATTTAATATAATATAATATTATTTAATTTAATATAATATAATATTATTTAATTTAATATAATATAATATTATTTAATTTAATATAATATAATATAATATTATGAGGACAATCTTAGAAATTACTTGTTTATATCCCACAATATATTTTGTAAAATAAACATGGATAATATATATCCAATCTTATATATCAAGTCAACAAACATGAATTAGGAGATATATTAAAAGATATATATTCTCTATTTTATATCCAGTGAAACAAACAGGGCCTTAGATCTCATAAATATTTTTTTATTGGTGATAAGTTTATCTTTTGGCGAAATAGTTTGGTGAATAATTGTTTTTAGTAGTTTTAAAGGATATTTTATTTTTAATTTTATCCCTCAATTTGTTACTTTTGTTTAAATTTTTTTTCTATTTGTGAATATTTGTCCAAATTTTATTAATTGTTTAATTTTTTTTTCATTATTTGTTTAAATTCTTGTCCTAATTTTTCAATTTTTGATAATTTTTTTTATTTGTTAAAATAGAAATTCAATTTTTTGAGATCAGATCTATAGGTATCTCCATCATTAATGAGAACGAATTCATCATTCAAATATGTTCAAATTCAACAACGATAACAAATAAACAAAAAAATTTATCTGTTTATTTTTTTAGGTGAGAGAGAGAGATTGATTTGTTAAGATATTTTTATCTGTTCAAATATTTTTACAAGAACAATTTGGATCACCGTAGCTCACAATCAGCCAATTACAAAATACATAGAGAGAGAGAGAGAGAGAGAGAGAGAGATTGCAGAGTGGAGATGAGCATTAATGAGCTAATTTTCAAGATCTAATATTTAGTGAGTGTTTGGGAAGTGACTATTTTTTATACTTTTTGGTTATTTGAATATTTTAATAGGCTATTTTAGTTTTTGTGTTTGGAAATATAGGATGAATTTTTATTTGAGTTATTATATTGAAAAATATGTTTGAAATGATGGTGTAATGTAAAATGACTAAACTACCTATACAAAAAACAATAAAATACAAAAGGCAGCCTATGACGTGGCAGTTTGATCTCTTTGCTTATCTCTTTTTACAACCCCATCTCTATAAAATTGGTTGAAGAAGACCCATGTCAACTTCAGACGGAACAGCTAACGACGTAATTAACGACGCAATTATTGAGCAGCAACAACTTCAACCGCAGGGAAATGGCGCTCTATTTGTGAAGAAGTCGTCGGCGAAAGACCGACACAGCAAAGTCGACGGTTGAGGGCGGCGAATTCGCATACCGATCATGTGCACCGCCAAGGTCTTCCAACTCACTCGCAAGCTGGGCCACAAGTCCGGTTCCTCCGTCAAGCCGAGCCATCTATCATCGCTACCACTAGCAGCAGCACAAATCCGGCGACCTTCTTTACCGTCTTAGTCTTCGTTAGAAACTCCTTTAATTCCTTAATCTCCGCCTTGCTCGATCAGAAGCCATCTCTGTCGTTGATCACTCAAACGCCGTTTATCTTCAAGAAGCGACTCCGCTCCGACTCTGATTCCGCCAGAGTGAGATCCGTCGGAGAGAGGTACAATGGTGTTCTTCAAACCCTCCATTCAGACCCAAATGACATATGAGAGAGATGAAAGCCTCTTCATCAGTTGTGACTCTTTATTTTTTGATATGAGCTACACAAAGGGTAAAAATGTCTTTTTATCAACATAGTGACATCCAGCTAGACAGAAGCCTTGTTACCTCAACTACAATCAGGCTACATGACTTTTTTCGTAAAAGAGGCTAAAATAGTCTGACCCACGGGTAACCAAACGCCGCCTTAAGGTTTTACTAACAAACAATACAATCAATTAAAAAACAAATCATGAAAGAGTTTTGCAAAGACTCCAAATCACACAAACGCACAAAGAAGCTTTGTTCATGTATGTAGAGAGAGAAATGAAGTAACCTATTTTGAGGGCTTCCTGAACAATATTAGTCCCACAAACCAAACGACACGAAGTCGAGAGAGAGAAATAGAGAAATCATGAGAAACAAAATCAATTCACATTAAACTTATGAACCTCTCTGACCTTCTTTTCCGATTGAGAACAAAAAAGTTATTGCAACTTGGAGACAAAATCTTTGAATCGTTTAGTTATCGCCAATGACATAGCAGAAGTCATAGTAGGAGGTGGCGGAAGCAATGGTAGAGCGGCGGAAAGTGAAGAGAAGTAGTGGTGAGAGAGAGAGGGGAGATGAGCTGCACAGAGAGAGAGAGAGAGAAAGAGAGAGAGAGAGACGCTAGAGAGGAGGTAAATCATCCACCTCAAGGAATGAATAGGTCAGATCAAATCCAAATAAATTGTCGTTAGCGAAAAATGGGAGACGAAAGAGAATATAAGAGAAGAGACAGACAAATAGAGAGAGAGAGAGAGACAGAGAGAGATCTTGAGGCGGTAATGGTGGCGCCGCTGGACTATGGCGACAATCTGTTCGTGGATTGCAGCTCTCAAACGGCGACGAGTGATCGAGGGTTTTGAATCTCTTTCTCTTGTACGTCTTGAATCTCTCTCTCTTGCTCTGTGAAATGATTCTTTCTCTATTACTCCGTGTAAAACGGTTAATAAAGATATATATAAGAGTAATTTGGTCATTGTGCAAAAGTATGTCCGTATAGACAATAATTTTGCGTATGGACCTTTGGGTAAAAGAAATTTGAATTTAGATTTTTGAACCAAGCGCCTTAAAAAGAATGAAATCATACTTTTAAAATGCGTATAATATTAAATATATTTAACAAATATTTGAAAATTAAATATTTATTTATGAACAACAATTATTCATTTTTTAAGAAAATATTTTACAGGAAAATTTTTAGAGAAGAAAATAATGATTTGTGATTGGAGTTTGGGTGAATATTAATGTACTTTATATTCACTTTTTTAATTAAAAAAAATATATATTTTATCATCTAATTGAAAGTATTGGATTGGGAATGCTCTAAGAAGCTTCAAATCCAATACCGACAAAAGGGTTTCCAATCCAGGCCGAAGGATATTGTTTACGTGAAGTTGTCTAGTTTTGATAATTTAAATACTTTAGTAATTTATAAAAATCTTTTCATACGTATCATTTAAAAAAATATTGATCAAATAATTGTATTTTATTTAGTTTATTGTATATGTCTAAAAAGAAATATATATAAATATATTTTTAAAATATTTTATTTTTCTCCTCATTTTCTAATTTTATTCAATTTAAATTTTCAATTAGGATAAGCTAATTTTGCATCAATTTACTATCACCATTTTTACCCCCTTAGGGGGTGTTTGGGAAGAGAATTGGTCTAAAATAACCTACTAAAAGACAACATAGGCTATAATAATCAATAACACAAAATGTCACATCCAACTCATAATCATTTTACTTTTTTTTTCTCACAACCATCAAATTAACTATAAAAAAAAAACAAAAAAAAAATTTCTCAAACATAATTATTTTAAAGATACATAGACAATTAAAATAGTTAACTTCCCAAATAAAGCCATTATAAAATGAATATTTGTACGTGTTTGTGTTTGGTCTCATAATATTTGATTTTTTTCTTCTTCTTTTTTTCTTTTATCCAGAAAATGATGCTTTCTGGAGGCATCATAGCATCCCTGGGCTCTATATAAGGAAAATGGAGTTTTAAGAACATTGATTGTACGAGTTCTAAACTCTCAAACTAATTTTATTAATTTACTAATTTTTAAAGAAATAAAAATAATAATAAAAAAACTCTATTGGTTAGTTCAAAAAAAAAAAAAAACTCTAATTATCTATGATTTTGAATTTTAAAATTCAAAATCTATATAACAAGGGAAGGGTGTTTTTGAATTGGGGATGGGACATTTGTATGCGTGTCAAAATATAGACCATCAAATTGATTTAATCTAAGGGTTGAAAATATCCTACTCTCATTTGTCCTATTTGGACATTTCAATGGTTTAGATCAATTTTACTAAGTTTAATAAATGGTCCAGATTTAGCTTTGGTTTAATCAATTTTGCACTGAATAACTTCTTCCTCTTTCTCCCACAGACGTCTTCCTCCTCTTTCTCTCTAATTTTGATTACAAAATTTGAAACTCCATTCTCTCTCACACCTCTACATCTTCTTCTTTCCACCAAGCTTTCTCTCTCTAGAAGTTTAAGTAATCTCTGGTGGTGATTTCCTCCGACGGAATACAACCCCGCTGAGAGGGGGTGATTTGTACCATCTGGCTCAATGTTTTCCTCCTCTCTCTTTACACAGCTCCAAGGTAAAAGGCTAAATCCTCACCTTTTTTACTCTCCCTTTTGTTATCGTTCTATTGGGTTTGTTATTGTTCCATTGGGTTTATTATTGTTCAATCTTTTCCTCCCCTCTGCTGGGTTTTTTTTTTTTTTTGAAGAGGGTGTGTGAATCTAGGGTTTTATTTGGGTTTTGGATTTTAGATTTTGATATGATAATCAATCTTTGCCTCTTCTCTCTCTCTCCCTCTCACTTTTTTTCCCCTCTTTTGTTTGGATTTGTTTTTCTTTTTTCTTATTTGTTACCAGTACAAAATTTCGAATAGCAAAATTCTTGGACATAATTACCAGTACAAAATTATTTCTTTTTATTGATTCTGTTTCTACAAAAATAGGATGAAATTAGATTACCTTTTTTAAAAAATGAGTTGGGTATGAGTGTTTACTATTATGAGTAAGAAATTGTTTGGCACTTTACATTGCCTTCTTAATACTTTTGCTCTCTCTATTCAACCTTTTTGTAAGCAGATTAGTTTTGGTTGAAGCTAACTTCTATGGTTGAATAAAAGAAGCATTGACACTGTTCTAGATCCTTTTAGGGCAACAATTGAATTGTGTTGAACTCCAGCAATTTGAACCAATTGAATTTTTATTTTTTTTATTTTTTTATGGTTTGTATAGTTAGTCTTTGGGTTTGTGTTTGAACCTGCAAAATTTCATCAATGTGGTGAATTAATTGTTTATTTGTTGCTAAGAAAGTGGCAAAAAAAGTAAAGAAAGTTAAATTTTGGTTACTGTCATTCTTGGATTTTACTTAAAGATCTATTACGATTGTATTTTGTCAAAATTAATATTTTTTTATTGGGTTTTGTACTCAATAGCAAGGGTTTCACGCACCATTAATCAACCTTTGTTCAAGCACCATTAATCTATCTCATTATATTTTTTCTACCCTACCGTTAAGCACCATTATCTTTAATGTATCTCTTTATATTTTTTCTACTGTATGTTTAAGCACCATTAATCAATCTTTGTAGTGACTTCGACTGCAGCAGTGGAGCAGACTAAGGTTGTGGGTATTCATTTTGGCCTTGCTGGCCCTATTTCAGTGTCTTGGTCTTGCTAGCTCTATTCAAGGATATCCCAAATAGTTATTTTAATTAGTTAGTTATGTTGGAGACGTTGAAACCATGGGAAAAGCTACTGGAAACTTTAATTAATTAGTTTTGTTGATTAATTAATTGATTTCCTTTTGCTGATTTGTATTAGATTTGTATTAAATCAGTTTCGATTGCTAGATTTGTTTTGAATCAATTTCTAAAGTCACCATTAATCTATCTTTTTTTTTTTTTTGAGCAGCCCATTAGTCTATCTATTTGAGCACCATTATGTTTTCTGCCATACGATGCAGCGACTTTGATGGAGGCAATGGAGCAGACTAAGGTTGTGGGTATTCAGTGTTTGGGTATTCAGTGTTTTGTTCAATGAGATCTCAAATAGATATTTAATTATTTAGTTTTGTTGAAACACTGGAGAAAGTTGTTGTAAACTTTAATTGGTTTTGTTGATTAATTAGTTAGTTTCGTTGCTAAAATTGTGATAGATTTGAACTATACTTTAGTTTTGTTTGGTTTGATGCTAAACATTAGTTTTGTTTTTTATTTTTTGCAATATTTGTTGGTAACAGGGTGCTTGGCTTCCATTGTAGGATTAATGTTGTTGTTTCAGCTCCTTCCTCTCATCTTCCTTATTGTTTTCACCTCCTCACCATGGGTTTGAGACCACTTCAACTTTCTTCTCGATGTAGTCGTCATAGCCCATTCTAAAGTCTCAACCATCACAGTCTTCACCATGGGTTTGTGGTGATTACGAAAGAACAATTGAGACTTGATATACGAAGTGCTGATGGACGACTGAAGCACTTAAAGCGATTTCGAGGCCACGATTCAATGGGTATCCTCCATCACAATCTATGGTCTCTTTCTTATTCTATCTCTACATTTGTGTAAACATTTTTCAATAATTATTCCTAAATTTTAATTTTTATTCTTGTCGTTAATTAGAATAACACCGATCGACTCCAACATTTGTAAATTGAGAATCAGATTCTTATTGAAGCAGCCACACCCTACAGTGCATTTGGCTGGATTATAGAGAGCTTCCAACCATTAAGCAGGTTAGTAATTTTATTATTATTAGTTTGTTTTATGTAGCATTTATTTAGTAATTTGTTATACATACCATTTGTTTTGTTGTACATTTGTTAGACATAGCCATCAAGCAGGTTAGTAATTTGTTATACATAGCATTTGTTTTGTTGTCATTGGTATATGTCTGAATGAAGTTACAATTACAGTCAATAGTGGTTCAAGAAGAGAAAACACAAGTTTAATTGCTTTACTACATTTATGTTATGGATTCCTACAATTTGTATTTGAAGATTTGTCTTTGTGGTGTACTATATAACTATGTATATATTTGGATTAGTTGATTGGCAAAACTATTTTTTTTTGTTTTTAATTTGCTTAATAGGCTCACATTAGAGAGCATGAGGAAGAAGTAAAACTTCTTTAGAACCTATCACATCCAAACACTGAGGTAAGTATGTGATTTGTATTCTTATTTAAGCAATGGTTGCTCATTCTGATTGACTAACTTTTTCTTTTGGTTGGTTGTCTTTCTTGACTCTACAAGTCTACGAATTAATCATCAATCATGCTTGCTATTGAGTTGAAAAGTTGAATACATTTTGAAGCAATGGTTTAATCTTTTCTTACAATTATCATACTTTGGGTATCAATTAGGGATTGATTTGGTATCAATTAGGCCATTTACAACTAGGGATTGATTAAGTCTCTGATACATGCAACATGAAGTTTTGATTGGGCATCTGGTTTTTTGATTGAGTCACGAATTATTGTCTTTTATTAATGATTTCAATTGGATGTCTGATATTGTCTTGAGGGTTCCAAGGATGCTCTATTTCCAAAGAGGTGTAAGGTTTAAGCCCTCTTGAAGTTTTATTATTGGTTGGTGCACAACCCACTACTTCACTCTATTTTTCTCAGTGATTTGTTTGTTTTGCTTTGTGATTTGTATATAGCAGGAAAACCTTGATCATGTAGATTTTTGTTATTGGTTAGATTTATTCCCAACTTTCTTCCCAAAACAAAAAGAACTTTTGGATATTGCTATAAAACTTTCTAACTACTTTGATCATGTGGATTCTTTGGTTGGGATTAATTTGAATTATGTTAGGAAGGTTTTTGATTGTGAAGGGAAGGAATAGACTGATATGTTGCATTTACTTTCCTAAGATTTGAATCGGAGAAAGAAAGAGAAACTTTTGTAGTTGGGAATAAAGAGAAACTATTTGTAATGGGTTTCTCTTCAATTGATTGATGTTTGATCCTCTTACTTTCTTTTTCTCTCTGTATCTCTTTGAGGTACATGTACGTGTGTTTAGCTAATATTTGTTTGGGTTCAGGAATTTGCTTACATTAATTAGCTGAAAACTACCTGAAAATTCTATTAGGTAGTTTCAATTATATTCTTAGCAATAAAATTTGATGTTATCTGCCACTTTAACATTAACAAAAAATACATCACTAAATTTGTCTTTCTTGGGTTAATAAAAATCCTGGTGGTATAATTCCAAAAGGAAGCATTATGCATATGATTTTTCGCTTCTTTTTTTTTTTGTAATTTTTTAAAAAACTTCTATTAGTAGCCATGCCTGTAACGCCCTCAAAAAAATACATAAAAACCATCACTTTAGACATGCATTGATATAAAAGAAACTAACTATCTTTCCATTAATCAAAGTAGTTCTTACAAAAGTATTACATGTTAACAACAAAAGTAAATGCCCTACGGGCTTACAGCTTTCCAAGTTAACACTTGGTTACAAAAAAAAAAGAGTGCTAACTCAATACATATTAAGCCGCCCTTGGCTTCAATTTACATGAAATACATCAAACGGAAGCAAACAACAAAAGCAGTCTGTCTGCCTATAGCCTCCCAAGCTATGTCCTTGGAGGTGGCAAGCTACTTGTACCTGGAAATGATGTCCCATAAAGGGTGAGCCACAGCCCAGCAGAAATACGCTAAACCAGCTATGAACAATGACTAAAAGACTAGCAGTTGATAGATGGTCAACACCAATACACTCACTTAGATCACATTCCGGTTTCATGACATTTGAGTCTATGTTACATTTCATTTCTCATTTCTTTTTCAACCTTGAGTTTGAAAACAAGGCTCAAAACTTAGCCAAATAACATGATGAGAATAGGACTCATCTTAAAAATACTTTCGAAATTCATGGTGGATACACATTTTGATGCTATATCAATAACACATAAGCCACTCCCATACTATACGAACGATACACATTGTGGTGCTGTATCAACATGACATAGAAACACTTCTATACTTCACAATTGATAACGATATACATTTTAGTGCTATATCAAATCAATCTAAACACTTCCATAATCAACACTTGATACACATTGTAGTGCTGTATCAATGTCACACACAACCCGGCTTAGAGGTCCATCCCCTATCTTCCCCTAAACTGTGGAATGCATCCCCTATCTCCTCCCACACACACAATGTATATAAACATAGATCATATACATAAACATTCAATACATAAAGTCGATGTACTATTACAACCGCTATATTCGATAGCATACTCATTCGATTAGTTTTAGTTTGCCTAATCATCATGCATTGTCTACAACAATCAAGGCTATTCTCCACCGATAGCCCAAGCAATTATTTCTAAACAGAAAATAAATGCACCAAATGGATATATTATCAACATTCATCCTAGGTGAGCGATTAAATGAATCCAACTACACCCATTAACCCCATAATCTTTTCAATTTGAATACTCGCAATTCAATTCCTCATTTCTCAAAATTAATTATACAAATTAATTTATCCAACTAATTAGGACATTTTCCCATAATTAACATAACAACCCCAAGGTTCCACTTTCATCCATAGTTCATCATCTATATCATTTCTCTATGCCAAACATGCATATAGGTTTAATTATAAATAAAACCCCATCTTTTGTAAAATTACACAAAGACCCAAACTTTCTCAAAATTACCCAACAACCCCCAATATATCAAAACGCTAAAATTCAAAGACAAAGCTCATAAAGAGGAGTAGGATATCCCTACCTCAAAGTTAGAGTTCAAACGGAGAAGGAGAAGAAAGCGAAGATGCTTCAAACACCACGATTCTCGGATCAAAACGAAACCTTTGACGATCAACACACTTTTTACAAAGGCCAGAAGATAGGGAGACACTCTAACTAGATCAAACCCTAGAGAGAAGGGAGATCCTAGAGAGAGAAGCTCTCAAAAGTGTTTTTAGAAAGTTAGAGAGAGGGAGAGAATGTAAAAAGTGATTTTAAAACGCCCAGCTGCCAACTGATATACGACATTCCCGCTCGAGCGGATAACAGGACGCTCGAGCGTCAAGAATAGAAAACTGAACCCGCTCGAGCGCAAGAATTCTCGTTCGAGCGCCAAGACACAAAGGCGAAACACACCTGCTCGAGCGCGAAAGACCAGTCCGCTCGAGCGTAGATTTTCATCTCCCAGAACTTTCACCAACGAGGTACAACTCGCTCGAGCGCCAACAAGCCCGCTCGAGCGCAACCCGCTTGAGCGCAAGAAACCCGCTCGAGGGTAGAAAACACGCCTGCAGAAGTTTTGCAGGGACTCAAAATACTGGAAGGGTGTAAACCCCGCTCGAGCGTAAAATGACCCGCTCGAGCGGACAACTCAAAAAATGGGCAACAGAAATGGGAGCCAACGCTCTACCAACCTGTAACAACCAAGCCCAACACATACTAAAACTCAAACACATGGATTTAAAGGACGACAACAAGATAGATACAACTACCAACTCTACGGAACAAGCATGCCACCTCCAAGGACATAGCTTGGGAGGCTTGAGGCGGACATAATGTTGTCGTTTACTTTTGATGTATTACATGTAAATACAAGCCAAGGGCTTAAAGTGTATGAGTTAGTACTCCTTTTGTGTAACCAAGTGTTAACTTGGAAAGCTGTAAGCCCGTAGGGCATTTTGCTTTTGTTGTTAACATGTAATACTTATGTAATAAGACTCTGAAGAAATGGAAGAATATGGTTATCTTATATGTTAATGAATCTCTTAATTGATGGGTTTAATGCTTTTATTTTGAGGGCGTTACACCGGAATACAACTGAACAGTAAATGGACAACCAGGATCGCTATAATGCCTATGAGCTTTATATCTTAATTACTATTCAATAATAATTTGTTGGCACTTCAATTTCTCGTGGGATAGAATTATGGAGGTGCTAATATGACTCTTTTTTTTTTCTTTTCCCCTCTCCTGTAGGAACATTGCTTAAGATTGGCATAGTTATGCTTATGTTTTTTTTAAAGGACACATTTATGAAAATGTCTATGTTACGGATGTGTTGTATAATATTCGTAGGTGTGTTTGGATCGTGGATTTTGGTAGGATTATGAAGAGAGAGAGTAAAAGAATTAGTGAAATGTGAATGGAATATAAACTAAATTATTTCTCTATTTTTCTTTCCTTTTCCAAATCCCTATTCATAATCCAAACACAGCTTTAGCATGAAAACAATGTAGGAATGCAATTCCAAGCTTGATAAATATTCAAATGAATGTTATCTTTTGTTGTCTATTTTGACATATGTAAGTCATGGGTATTACACTTTAATTCCATTTGTTGAACATAAATATTTCAAGCAGCTCATAATGCTTTGAGTTTTATAAGTGAGTGAAATTGCTATTCAAGCCTCTCTATCATGGTATGTGCAAGATTTGGGTATGAACCTGTCACCAACACTATGACACTCTAATTTTGACAAAGTTGTTAGAATGAAAATGAATGCCAAGTTCATATTTTAAGTTCATTATTCTTTTATTTGAAGCAATGGGTTGACTGGTTTTGAGTTTATGGGTTTTTTTTTTCTTCCCTCTTTTAAATTGATCATATCCTTTGAATAATATTTTTATGGAATACAGTAAATTATCATCTCGAAAGCAATTGTCTTCGTTGTTCTTTGTCTTGATATTTCATATAGGAATACATTTGATATTATATGCAGGATTCTTTGATATTTTATATAGAATTTCTTTTGTATTCTAATTGTGGAGCTTTTCTTAATTGATTATGAAAGGAATATTAAATTAGCAATTGATTTATTATATTGTTATTGTTAATGCTTCCATGAGAATGCTGAAACTAGTTGTTTGGTTACTTCTCTTGCATTTAAGGCAACAAAATTGAAGTAACTTTTGCACTAGAAACAATTGCTATTAATTAAGTAGGCACCGTTAATTAGTTTTGCTAGCAATGTTCAATTTAGGAGTATCGTAGGCATGAGTAATTTTCTATTTTGCCATTTTAATTTGTCAAATTATTAGGAGGCTAAAGGAATTTTTTACCCTATATCACTATTTGTGTATGGACAATTTCACTAGGTGGTATTTTTAGACAAGTATTTTTAGGCACGAGTCATCCACTAGAAGGGTAAGATTAGAGACCAAGTTTTACAACCTACAATCTCTCAAGTTGAGTCAATTTTGTAAAATATTTTGGTGACATGTCAAAGTTGTTTGACTCGTCTCTAACATTTTATTTGAAAAAAAGGAATAGTTAGGTAAATGTTATCTAATGCAGCACTATTTTGTCATCAAGTTTAAATTTTTAAATTTTAACTTTTATTTTGCCATTTTTTTTTTTGCTGTACTTGCTTAAATATAGAAAATAAGTGTCAGGCATGTAATCAAATTGCTCGAGACATGAGATCTCTATTTTGACACGGTGAGCTTGTATGTGCTACAAGTGCTAAGAGTATGAGATAATAGACTATTTCAATACTTGAGTTATTTATCTTTCAAGGTTCACTTGGTAGTTTCAGGCAGTTTTCAACTTTGTTCACATAATTTTATTATAGTGCTTGGATGTATTGCAAGAAATTATTTATGGCGTATTTAGCTGTATTATTAATTAAGTGGGCATCATTAATTAGTTTTGCTAGCGATGTTCAATTTAGAAGTATCGTAGACATGAGTAATTTTCTATTTGATTGTTGTGTGGTATTTTAGATTTTTAGACTTTGATTTTGTTAGATTTTTAGACTTTGATTTTGTCATTTAGAAGGCCAAAAAAGGGCAATTCAATATTTTGTTCACCAATTGTGTTATTCTTTGTTAGTCTACATGAAAAAAGTGGAATGTGAATGTGGAAGAGTTAGGGTAAAGGAACCCAGGTGAATAAACTTTAATGGATTGATTTTTTAAAAAAAATTGTGTTGAAATAATGATGCTAATAGATAATTTATGGCTGAATTACTCTTAAAGATTTTGAAAATATATTTTTTAAGTTTTTACATATACACTATTGAGTTTTATATAATTTTTTTTTTCTCATTTAATGTTGAGTTGTATACACTATCGAATGCTTAGGTTTTATTAAACAGCCTTTAGGCACATGTTCTCACTATATTGTCTATTTTTTTTTTTTTTTTTTTTTTTTTGGTGATAAATATCACTATATTGTCTATGTTGTTGTGTATCAGTGTTAGAACTACTACTGTTTACCGTTACGATGGCCATCAACTGACTATTCGGTCTATTAAGACCTACTGTACTGTTTTGCTATTGGACATGCCACATATAACTGTTATGAATTCTAAATGACTGTTTTAATTAATGAAAGGACATTCATTCTTAACCCCTTTACGCATTCGTTATTCATTGGGCTTTAACTCACTGTTTATATTTATATGTAGGTGTCCAGGCACCGGACCGATGCTAGGAGCTTCAAGTTAAGCTCCTGTTTTGTCAAGCCAACCACCGTGCCTCACCTCGAGGTTCCGAGTCTGTTCAAGCTAAGGCTATTTTGGGGTGTCTCAGTTTCACCCTTTTGTTTCTGATCTGTAATAAATGTTTAAGACTTGACTGTACAGTTATAGTTAAGGATTTGGTCCCTGACATAGATGTTTGTAGATATGTCGCATGTATATATGTTTTGTTTATCAACATGACTTATGCATAAAGTCTTTTTGCATTCAGACTGTCACAGCTTATTGGACATCTTTTATTTACTGTTTTGGCTTCCACCAGCCACTTTACTCTGTATCACTGTCATTACTGTTAAGTAGGCCTTCGGTAATCACGAATTACTAGCCGGTTACGGTGTTAAACCCATAGGGGCGGGTTTAGGTCGTGACAAGATCTTTTTATTTATTTGTTCTTGACCATTCATAAAAGAATTTAGCATTACTTTATCCTTGGCTTTGTTTGGATTGGTTTATTCTATGGGTTTGTTTTTGTTAAGAAACACACTAGATTATATAATTTATTGTTTGGTGATTTCTTAATTACTAGAAAATTTATTTTAATCTAATTTGTTGGCCCTTTTACAGTTAGAGTAGTGGAGCTTATTGTTTGTTTTCTCACATGACAATGGGCAAAGCTAAGATGGAGGATGTGTCAAGTCCATGGAGGAAGTGTTGGTGAACATAGTTCTAAAGCAAGGCAGCTTTATATGATAATGTCACTTAAGCTAAAATGTCCATTGGTCACATATAGAAGATGGTTTTGAATTGGTTATCTCTTTTCAGTGTTAATTAATTCTCAATTACATCAATCTAATAAATTTGGTTATTATGTTAATTTTATTGAGTTTATTATTTTGTTGTACTTTGTGTCCTTTTTTTTAACATAGCGAGCTTGAATGTGCTACAAGTGTTAAGAGTATGAGATAATGTGTCATTTCAATGCTTGAGTTATTTATCTTTCAAGGTTCACTTAGCAATTTCAGACAGTTCTCAACTTTGTTCATATAGTTTATTAGAGAGCTTGGATGTATTATAAGAGGTTATTTATGAGATATTTAGTTGTGCTATTAATTAAGGAGGCACCATTAATTAGTTTTGCTAGCAATGTTTAATTTAGGAGTATCGTAAGCATGAGTAATTTTTTATTTGTCATTTTAATTTGTCAAATTGCTAGAAGGCTATAGGGATTTTTTACCATATATCACTATTTGTGTATGGACAATTTCACTAGGTGGTATTTTTAGGCAAGAATTGATTTATCATTTTGAATTGATTTATTACAATTGAATTTCGTAATAGATCTGACACCAAAAATATTGTTGGTCGTGCCTTCAGGCACGGGTTATCCCTAGTAATACGATAAGTCACCCTCACTCTTTTCAAAAATAATATTGATCAACACAATTCAAATAAAGAAACAATAAAGGCATTAATTATCTATGATTTTAAATTTCAAAATTCAAAATAATATGGTAAGTCGCTCTCATCTTTTCTGAAAATAATATAAATCCTAAAATTTAAAAAACCCAATCAAATTAAAAATTCAACACAATTCTCTCTTTAGAATAGTTAATATTTGATCTTTTTTTCAACCCTGCCAACTCCTCTCAAAATGTAACGATACAAAGATTAGTCTCTTTCTTTGTCAATAGTCCAAACTTATTTCAAGTTTGTTTGTTTGTATTTTTTTTTTTTTTTGTATATTTCTATTTTTGTGTGAGTATTTTTTTTTTCTCTATATGACTTTTTTTTCCAACTAAGTTGATAATAAATATATATCTGTTTAACTATCTTTATTCTGGGAGTTAATTTGAAATTTTATTTTTATTTTTTTGGTGGATGTTTGTGTGTTTTTTATATTGTTGTTATTATTATTATCTTTGATATATGTAAATTGATAATACAGTTATGAGTTTTTTAATAGAATATAACGTCTTATATTGTTCTTTATGATTTGGCCATTTTTCAAAATTTTCTTAACAATTTTTTCAAATTTTTTTATTTGTAAAAAATTAAAACATTTAATTGACTTGCCCATTAATAAATAAAATTTTAAATAATGAACACTGTTTTATAATTTATGGATTTAAAAAAAAAAAATTATCACCGATATATGGAATAAGAAAAACTAAAACCACACATTTTTTTCATTTTTTATTTTTAACTCTTTAAAACTCTAACGGTACATTTTTATTTCTCCAATATTGTCTTTTTAAATTTGCAAAGATAAAAAACTATACTGAAGTTGCATAATGGTTAGTGGAGGTGGTGAGTATAGCAACAATAAGGATGATGATGAGCTTGATCAGAGTATTGCTTGGGTGAGTTTTGAAGATGTGAATATTACTTAAAAGAATAGTAGATAGTTTGGGTGATCAATTGATTTAAAAAACTAATGTGTGGATGAGATTAAGTGTGAATTTTAATATATAAAAATTGAATATGGATCATATATTGTTTTTTTATATATCATTTTGGGTATTTTTGTACAACTATAAAAAATTATTGTGATCACATGTTATTTATCATCTGATATATTATTATTGTATTATTGTAATGAGTTTTATTATTAATGTCTATTATCAATGTAGTGGTGAGATGTCACACGATAAATAAAAATATGTTTTGTTATTATTATTATTGATAATATATTTCTTTATTTATTTTTTACAATGTTCAAAAACAATTTATATTCATTGTTAGTTTTTGTAGATGAGAAGTCAAAAATAAATTATATATAATTCAAGTTATAACTAATTTGAGATTGAAAAGAAAAGTTCCAAAAGAAATTATAATTATAAATATTTTTAAAAAAATACAAAGAAAAATTGAAACTATGAATTATAATTATCGAATAACCTAATTCTATTTCAAAAAAAAAATTGGGATAAACTAAATAAGTGCACTTTTTGACTTTTTATCAAATATGGGTTAGGCATGGGTTGGGTTTGAAATGATGTGGTAGAGAGATAATGTGACTTAAATAAGATGATGTGACTTAAATACTATAGTAACTTTTTTAGGTTATGCCAAACCAAGCCTAATGAAAAATTGATCAAATTTAAATTTATAATTATTAAATATTTTTAATAAGCCATCAGTTTTTTATTCAAGTTCTAAAATGATCTGGTCTTAAATAGTTTTTCAGATATAAATATATCTTAATATTGATACAATCATTATTAGACATATTTAATGAAGGGTAAATTATATCGATAGTTCCCGCATTTTATCTCTTGTATCAATTTGATCTCTGTAATTTTAATTAGCTTGATTTTGTCCATTAATTTTAGATTTGGTATCAATTTGGTCCAATTGATAATGTCGGTTAAGATTTTTAAAATAAAATAGTTATTGCGTTGGTTGACATTAACTTACTGAGTTGAACAAATTTATAATTTTATTTATAAAATTATAACAGATGCTACTTATATAGCGACCCTGGTCTTTTCCCATTTATTTATTGTATCCGGACTGTTCCGTAGATTTTGTCATTGTATATGGTTGTTGTTGTTATTTCTAGGGTCAAAATCGAGCAAATTAAAATTGCAAGAACAAAAATAACACAAGAGTTAAAATATAGAGACAACCAATGTAATTTATCCTTTTAAAAATAAACTACATAATTTCTTAATTAATTTTAAAATTGTTAATAAATATATCAAACAAATATGTACATAATTCCTATTTTTGTTATAATTTTTAAAAATATATATATTTACTAATTAAAATTTAAATAAATAGGTGGGTCTATTAACTTATGGATTGTATATGAACTAGACGATTCTCCAAGAATTAGACTTAAATCAAGAATTATTGGCAAAAAAATCGACTTGAATTAAATTTTCTTAGTTACATTTTAGTGTTTAATCCAATATTAAAATCTCTCAAATTTGCTCATATCAGTCACAAATTGGTAAGCTATGATAAAATTTAAATTTATTAGGATTAAAATATATGATCTACAATTTAGGGTGCTCTATCTTAGATAATTTTTTCATCCATAAATATATATAACTATTCATTTAGTTGTTTTAAACATAAATATATAATTTTTTTAAACTAAGTTCAAAATTTTTAATTATTATAAAAAATACTTACAAATATTTATTTACTAATTTAATAAATAGATAGGTCAAATGATTCATATAAGTTAGGAATAAGCAAGGTAATTTTTAATGATTAGAAAAAAGACAAGTTGGCATAAATCTAATGTTAAGCCTCAATTTAATATCTCAAGTGAATTTTAATCCATTTTTACGTAAATCTTATAACATAAGATAAATTATAATATTGATGCTAGAAAAAATTTTAGACTTTACAAAACTTGAAAAAAAATTAATATATTGACAGATGTAATTTACCATTATTATATGATAAATTAAATTTGCAAAATTCATAAGACAAAATGTATTTATATTTTATCATAAATATAATTTTTGTGATTTATTTTTTAGTTTTTACCAACTAAATTATGACATGTATTTGTTATTAAGAACTTAGAGCACACAATTAATGACATAAGAATAAAAAATATTCTCTTATATGTAACTGTGATAAAAATAAATAAAATTTAATTGATTCTAAATTATTTTTACGAAATATTTTAGATAGATTTTTTAGATTATTATTTAATTTTAAAAATTAGTTTTTTGATCATTTATTTATACCCGTGCATAGCACGAGTAATTATGCTAGTTTAATCTAACTCGAAGGAAGGACCCACCATCGGAACAAGAAAGTAATGAACCAACCCCCAATACAGAAGGCCAGTTGTCGGTCAGATTTAACACAACTCAAAGGAAGAGATCCACCATTGGGACAAGAAAGGAATACACCAACCCCCATCACAGAAGGCGGTCACGATCGACAATGTAGGCAACTTCACTATTTGAAAAATGGACGCTAGTCGCACCCTGCTCAACTGTGTGGAAGGAAGACATCTTCCTACCCCATCACCACTCCTGGTGGTATTTGATCATTTGTTTCGAGAGTCAAATTAGAGGAGATTACGAGTATAATAAAATTACTAATGTAATGGTATTAAATTAAAGATGATAAATATATAAAATGTGTTGGACCATCTTAATAGCTTTTATTTATTATTTATATATTTTGTTGGTGAATTTTCTTTTGTCTTGTTCATGAATAGAGATTCATTGCTTTGGTGACCTTTTGTCTTGTTCATGAATGGAGATTAATTAGAATTCATGAACTTGGTGGTGAGTTAACATTTGGATACACTGGGACTCTTTCTTTTCTCTAGGTTCATGGCCATTATTATTTTTTGGTGTATTTTGT